TAAACTAGAAAAATGGTCAGAGTTGTGGCAACTGACATTTAATGTGGATAAGTGCAAGATAATGCATCTTGGACGTAAAAATCCAAGGGCAGAGTACAGAATATTTGATAGAGTCCTATCAACATCTGAGGAAAGGGATTTAGGGGTGATTATTTCTGATGACGTAAAGGTAGGCAGACAATGTAATAGAGCAGCAGGAAATGCTAGCAGAATGCTTGGTTGTATACAGGGCCGGATTAACATAGGGGCTGATGGAGCTGCAGCTCCAGGCCCAGGCCCATGGAATAGGCCCATTTAAAAAAAAAAAAAAAAAAAATTTTTTTTTTTTTTTTTACACACTACTCTTAGGTTTGCCACCTGACTGGTATTTTAATGGCACAGATGGTATTTGAGGCTGCCTGGTCGTGCCGGTATTGCAGTAATACCGGCAATACAAATGCAGGTCATTTTCTCAGAATAAATGGAAATTACTCTGCAATACCAGCACCAGCCAGTAGGGGTCACTATGTGTGGAGAGAGGCAGGGATAGGAAGTTACAGAATATCCCTGCCTCTCTCTACTACTCATTGATCCGTGGGGGAGCAGCTACACAGCACAGAGAGTCCAGACAGCAGCTCTACAGCTCAGGTAAGTGAGGGATGGGGGGAAAGGCAGCAGGGACACATGGGGACACTGAGACACTAGGGGACACATGGAGACACTAGGGGACATATGGGGACACTGAGACACTAGGGGACACAAACACTAGCACACAGACACTGGGAGACCTGGGAACACTGAGACACTTGGGGACACTGAGACATTAGGGGACACTGAGACACTTGGGGACATATGGGGACACAGACACTAGGGGACACAGACACTAGGGGACACAGACACTAGGGGACACTGAGACACTAGGACACATGGGGACACAGACACTAGGGGACACTGGGACACATGGGGATGCTGAGACACATGGGGATGCTGTGAGACATAGGGACATTGGGACACGGCGACACTATGTCCCCCAGCCAGTGTCCCTAGTGTCTCAGTGTCCCCAAGTCTCCCAGTGTCTGTGTCCCATGTCTCTCAGTGTGCCTTGTGTCCCAGTGTCCCCATGTCTATGTCCACAACTGTCCCCATGTCTCCCCAAGTGTCTGTCTCCCAGACAGTGTCCACTAGTCTCCCAGTATCCCCTAGTCTCCCAGTGTCCCCTAGTCTCCCAGTGTCTGTGTCCCGGTGTCTTAGTGTCCCCAAATGTTTCAGTGTCTCCATGTCTCCCAGTGTCTATGTTCCTAGTGTCTCAGTGTGCCTGGTGTCCCCATGTCTCCCAGTGTCCCTATATGTCCCAGTGTCCACATGTCTGTCCCCATGTCTCCCAGTGTCCCAAGTGTCTGTCTCCCAGCCAGTGTCCCCTAGTCTCCCAGTGTCCCCTAGTCTCCCAGTGTCTGTGTTCCCATGTCTGTTTCCCTAGTGTCTTAGTGTCCCCAAATGTTTCAGTGTCCCCATGTCTCCCAGTGTCTGTGTCCCTAGAGTCTCAGTGTCCCCATTTCTCCCAGTCTCCCTAAATGTCTCAGTGTCCCCATGTCTCCCAGTGTCTCCATGTCTCTGTGTCCCCGGGTCTCTCAGTGTCCCCATGTCTCTCAGTGTCCCCAGTATCCTAGTGACATGGGGACACACTGAGACATTGGGACACTGGGAGAAATGGGGACACAGACACTGGGAGACTAGGGGACTGGGCGACATGGGGACACTGACACTGTGATACATAGGGACACTGAGACACTGGGTGACTTGCGAGACAGACACTGGGAGCAATCCATCTATACAGCAGAATCAAACTGTGAGTAGTTTGTTGGTGATTTTACAGAATTTTCTCTGATGTCACTCCTTGTGATTTACATCATGTGATGTCACACATAACTAATTATACAAATGATTAAGGCTGGTATTTTTTTCCAAGAAAGGTGGCAACCTTAACTACTCTTCACATACTCTTGCTTAAAGGAGCACTATAGTGTCAGGAACACAATCTTGTATTTCTTACCCTATTATGTTAAAACCACCACCCTGGCCCCTTCTTGCCTCCCTAAATATAGTAAAATATTACTTGTATTCAATTCTGCAGCTGCTGGCTCAGAAGTGATGATCTGAGCAAATTACAATACTTCCCCATAGGATTGTCTGAGACTGTCAAATAGGCAGATCAGGGGCAGAGCCAGCACAAGTCCAACATAGCCCTGGCCAATCAGCATCTCCTCATAAAGATAAATTGAATCAATGCATCTCTATGAGGAAAGTTCAGTGTCTGCATGCAAAGGGTGGAGACACTGAATGGCAGTGCTGCATACTAGGCAGTACTGCCCCAGGAAGCACCTCTAGCAGCCATCTAATGAGTGGCCAGTGGAGTTATTTTCTCTGAAAAGACAGTGTTTACTGCAAAAAGCCTGAATGGAATGATTCTACTTACCAAATACAATAAGCTGTAGTTGTTCTGGTGATTATAGTGTCCCTTTAAGTTTGGAAGCTTAAGAGGGATGTATGGGAACAAAACTTGTGTGCACTGACTGACATTAAAGTTAGTTTAGGTAATGCAGACGTTGGTCTCTCTAACACTGTGGCATGTCCCTTTTCTTCTACACTCACTACAGACACCTTTTCTCTGTCTCAGACTATATACCAGGACCTTCTGCCTGCTAGTAAGAAGGTAAGGAGACAAGTGGACCAGCAAGTGCTAGGGGACAGTCCTTAGAAAGAGTGAGGGCATCATTAGACGCATTTATGTCAAGTCAAGGTGCTGCCTGCATAGTATGCCCTTAGTTGGACAGCCTGCAGGATTGGCAGGAAGCCTGACATGCATTCATGCCAGGCTGACCTTCCAATTCTTTGGACAAACATGCCCCCTTTTTGGGCATGTTCACCCCTTTTGGCAGGTCTTGTCACGTGATTCGTGGAAGTGGCACACCCTTTTACCCCGCCCATTGACTTCCTGCTTCACTGGACTCTGCTGTTAGGGGTTATGGACTTACTTGAAAGATGAAAGCATAAATTAGAGAGAAATTAGCACAGAGTATGTGTTTTCTTATAGCTGCATCCTATGAATTTCCCTCCAGCACCATCTCCATCAGATACATGACACTTGGGAGGTATGATTGTTTTAGTGTTTTTGGTCGATAAGATTCATAATTAGGCCCATCATAATTGTCAGCACCAGGCCCACTGTGCTCTTAATCCGGCCCTGGTTGTATAGGGAGAGGTATTAGCAGTAGAAAGAGGGAAGTGCTCATGCCATTGTACAGAACACTGGTGAGACCTCACTTGGACTATTGTACTCAGTACTGGAGACCGTATCTTCAGAAGGATATTGATACCTTAGAGAGAGTTCAGAGAAGGGCTACTAAACTGGTTCATGGATTGGAGGATAAAACTTACCAGGAAAGGTTAAAGGATCTTAACATGTATAGCTTGGAGGAAAGACGAGACAGGGGGGATATGATAGAAACATTTAAATATATAAAGGGAATCAACACAGTAAAGGAGGAGACTATATTTAAAAGAAGAAAAACTACCACAACAAGAGGACATAGTCTTAAATTAGAGGGACAAAGGTTCAAAAAATAATATCAGGAAGTATTACTTTACTGAGAGGTTAGTGGATGCATGGAATAGCCTTCCAGCTGAAGTGGTATAGGTTAACACAGTAAAGGAGGAGACTATATTTAAAAGAATAAAAATAGATTTTATTTGTTTCCAGTTCAGACATTTTGGCCTCATATTTGAAATGTACTTTGAATCCCCAGCAGTTCTCAATGTAATAAATAATCCTGGTAGTGATTATATGAGGTATAATGGCATATAATGAGATTTTCTGATATTTGATGTACCTTCTCGTTTTTGCTCCACGTCACATGTATGGACTCCCTCTGGTGAATAGATAAAGGCATGGACATGTGTCTCCCCATTCTACGACAAACAGAAATATATTCTACATTAACAAGCACGTTAACGTGAAACTGGACGGAGGTCAAATCTAAAGTGGGTGTTTACCTTTTCTATTCGCCTCCATGGGGCTTGCTGGATGTTAACCTGTACTTCGCTAACATGATTAAACGATGAAAGAAAATGTTTACAGATCTCCAAAGAAAATTCTTCAATAGTTTTAATCTAGGAAAGAAATCAATAAACACGATCAGGACAAATAATCACATTACAACTGGTGAGGCAAGCCTGGCTTATGATGCTGTGATGGTTATGGACCCTGACTTATATACTGATCCTCATTGGCATAGTGGTTCTGGATCCTTCATTGGTGTGATGGTTTTGGGCTCTTGATAGGTGTGGTGATTCCTGGACCCTGACTGGTGAAACAAGTTCCTGACTAGTGTGCTAGTTCCCCCAAGGGTCACGAACCTTGACCTGTAATGAACTAGATATTGACTGCAAAACGGGGAAGCATATTCAAACTGTGACAGATCAGGGCAAACTATAGCTGATTCATGCAATATGTCCTTTTCAGTTATATGTAACATTTGTTAATTCGTCATTTTCCTATTATATGCCCTGTACCAAAAATATGGACTATTCAAACTATGGTTTCTGTACCCTATTAAGTACATAGAAATGGTTAATTATAAACCAAATAATTAATTAGGTCAAAATAGCATGTTTTTGCCAGTCAGCTGTTATTTTGACTTGCAAAATGTTTTACCTATCTCAGCGAAAGACTTGCAAATTCCTGGTTAACAGCTGACAAACCTTGGTTTAGAAAATAACCCACAGAACGTGTTAGGGACAATTCATGCTGGAACAGGGTCTGATAGAAGGAACAACACTATAAGTGTAGGGATGATCAGGACTCACTCTTTGCCACATAACTTCACCACATATGACCGATCTGAACTTTCACTCGGCATCCAACTTCCATTCATCCTGTGGACCATGCCTCGATTGATACTGCAAGTGTAGGCAACCTTTGGCACTCCAGATGTGATCGACTACACCTACTATAATGCTCTCACAGCCATAATGTTGGCAAAGCATCAAGGGGAATGTAGTCCACAACATCAGGAGTGCCAATGGTTGCCTACCACACATTCTACTGAGTTGCGAGCAGAGGATTGCTAAACATTCCACAGTAAAATAATATTGCGCTATACCAGTCTTACCCCTTTAAGCTTTGCCAGAGCGTAAACTGTATTCTTTATGGTATCTGTGGGGATAATATCAGAATTATCTCCCTCCAAATAATCCTTCTTGGACTTTAAGGAAAGTTGAACCGAGGCATCGATTTCTTTGATAAAATGCTGTTTTCCGTTCCTCTTAATTTGGAGAACTTTTACCTCATTTTTTCCATAACCTGTCCTCACGAAGCTTACATCCAGATCCTACAATAATTACAGAACAAAACACACTTATCAGACACTATATCCCAAAATATAATTACAGATCTTTATTTCAGCCAATATAAGACTGGATGAGGACAGCTGTGAGATGGGGCAAACATCAAACTAATAAAAAAATGTAACAAATAAATCGAAAACACATATCTTACATGTTCAATAAAACAGAATAAATTCTAAACAAAGAGAAGAGGCGTTTTGTACAAACATAACTATGTTTTGGTATTGTAAAGTGTACAACAATAATTTCTTCCAAAATGGGAAGGGGGATATTTCTATTTACCATGAAAAGCTAGCAAATCGAGAATGAACACTCAGTTCTTGGTATAGCAGGCTTTGGGTTAACACTCACATTAGAAAGGTACAGCTATCTGACAGAGCTATAACCAGGTCTTGGTATAGTAGGCATTGGGTGTAGAATCAGCACTGACTCAGGATAGAGCTGTAAGCATCTGTCAGATACAGCAGGCTTTGTATATAGAATCAGCACTCATTCAGGATACAGCTAAACCAACTCTCATGGACCTAGAATCAGCACTCACTCGGAATAGAGCAATAACCAGCTCTCGTTATTGAAGGCTATGGATCTATAATCCGCACTCATTCAGGATAGAGCTATAAACAGCTCTCTGTATAGAAGGCCATTGACCTAGAATCAGCATTTACTCAAGATAGAGCTATAACCAGCTCTCAGTATAGAAGATTATGGGCCTAGAATCAGCACTCACAGGGGATAGAGCAATTACTAGCTAGCAATAACTAGGCCATGGACCTAGAATCAGCAATCACTCAGGATAGAACCAGTATAGAAGGTTATAGGTCTAGAATCAGCACTCACTCGGCATAGAGCTATAACCAGCTCTCTGTATAGAACGCCATTGACTTAGAATCAGCATTTACTCTAAAATCAGCTCTATGCATAGAAAGCCATTGATCTAGAATCAGTACCTACTCAGGATACAGCTATAACCAGCTCACTGCATAGAAGGTTATGGACCTATAATCAGCACTCACTCAGGATTTAGCTATAACTAGCTCTTTGTATAGAAGGCCATTGACCTAGAATTAGCACTCACTCAGGATAGAGCTATAACCAGCTCTCTGTATATGGAACTAGAATTAGACTCAGCACTCACCTCAGGGTAGAGCTATAACTCACTAATCTAGGAGCTGATCATTCCCTGTTGATGGTGTATTCAGAGGCCTTAAATTCATCAAAATGGACATTCATTTAAAATCCTGTCAAACAGCTAGTCCCGAGAGTGTAATGTTTTTATAAGAATTATTTTTGTAACCAGGCTGTTAGAGTGAGGGTGTACTTGGGGGCCACAGGTTTATAGTGTAGAGACCATTCTGTGTGTAGCTGATCTAATTCCTCCTTCTATGAATAACTGATCTCATTCTGTGAGTAACTGATCTCATTCTGTGTGTAACTGATCGCATTCCTCCTTCTGTGAGTAACTGATCTCATTCTGTGAGTAACTGAGAGTAACTGATCCTATTCTGTGAGTAACTGATCATATTCTATGAGTAACTGATCTCATTCTGTGAGTAACTGATCACATTCTATGAGTAACTGATCTCATTATGTGAGTAACTGAGGGTGACTAATCTCATTCTGTGAGTAACTGATCTAATTCCTCATTCTGTGAGTAACTAATCTCATTCCGTGAGTAACTGATCTCATTTTGTGAGTAACTGATGTCATACTGTAAGTAACTGTGAGTAACTGAGAGTAACTGATCTAATTCTGTGAGTAACTGATCTCATACTGTGAGTAACTGATCTAATTCTGTGCGTAACTGATCTCATACTGTGAGTAACTGATCTAATTCCTCATTCTGTGAGTAACTAATCTCATACTGTGAGTAACTGAGAGTGACTAATCTCATTCTGTGAGTAACTGAGTAACTGATCTCATTCTGTGAGTAACTGATCTCTTACTGTGAGTAACTGATCTCATTCTGTGCGTTACTGATCTCATACTGTGAGTAACTGTGAGTAACTGAGAGTAACTGATCTCATTCTGTGAGTAACTGATCTCATACTGTGAGTAACTGAGAGTGACTAATCTCATTCTGTGAGTAACTGAGAGTAACTGATCTCATTTGTAAGTAATTGATCTCATACTGTGAGTAACTGAGAGTAACTGATTGCATTCTGTGAGTAACTGATCTCATACTGTAAGTAACCAATCTAATACCTCTTTCTGTGAGTAACTGACCTCATTCTTCATTCCATGAGAAAGTGATAACATTTAATTCACACAAACAAAAAGCTTTATAAATGTGTCAGTGATTGTTTATGCCAGAGTTCCATTTCCAGTGAGTGAACAAACTTGGCAGAGATGGAAGAAGTTCATGTGTGATTCTCTGGAAATGAATGAATCAATAATTAATTTGATGCCATCGCTGTGCCAAGATCGTGTTTGAGTCTGGTTAAATAATTTCTTAATGAAGGTTAATGACCACTTCAAGCCATGCTTCAGGACACATACACATTGTGACATCATGACTACTTATTTATCTCGGCACCTTGTACATTTTCTGTGGCAGACCTAGCCACTTGGGACTGTAAAACACTTTATTTCTGTGAACTGTGTTAGGGACTTTAAAATGGCCGTATCCCCTATTGTTCGTCTATGGGGATACAGCAGCCGTTTCCCGAAGAGTAATGTGCAACACTGTACCTAACTATCAAATTGGAGACCACCCCGGTGAGGTCGTGTGTCTCTCATTAACCCAGTTGCAACATTGTTGCAAGCGCTTAATTGGCTTTGTGTGTTTGGCCGCTGTTCGTGTACCGAACACGTGGTGGCGGCCATCTTTGTTCGCTAAGAGTTCAGCGGTGTTTGGTCGTCGAGTGCCTGGAACTCAAATCGGCTACTTGATTTACAAACACCGCTGGACTTCTATAGCGTTCAGGAACCTCGCTCTTTCGGTGAATTAAAGCTGTTCGTGAGTTTTCCCTTTCTAGACCCGGTTCACTAAAAATGGTTTTCTGTGTGTCGTTCGCCTATTTCTGCAGGGAACTGTGCGGCAATTCGTGAGAGTATTCATTCAGATCCCTGCAATCTAATGGAAATCTGTTGTAAATTACCGAAGTTAGATATTTTAATGTAAAATACAAGATTCCAACTGTTAACATAATTATCTGTGCCTGATGATGTCATTATTGTCCCTGTTTAGTGTTTGGGTTAATCCCGGCACCATAACCACTTCAGTGTGTTAATAATGATAATACTATAATAATAACAACAAGCATTACTACTGCTAGTAATAAAAATATACTATAATCATAATACTAATAGCAATAACTAATAATATTGGTACACACTGTGCAGTATCTCTATACAATGTAAACAATAGAGAATACATACAGCAAACTGATTAGCCTAAAGTTGAAAGTCATTTTATCCCGCCATGATGGCAGAGTTGGGCTATATATGCGTTATTGCGCTGTCTGTACATTGTTTAGAATCCCTCTCCTGCTTTCTCTTTGTAATAAATGCAAATAAAAGAGAATTGTTTGTATGCGATCGTTTTTCTCACTGATTATATATTGAAACTTTTAAACCTTCAATCTTTTGTTTAATGCAGAGTCTGCACTGCATTTGTAGACGGAGAAGAGAACATACATTCAAAAAGGAAGGAGAGAGGGTCTTCTGCATCTATAACAATAATGTTTCTGGCACGTCTTCTAAAACTAATATGGAATAATAACCAAATATTATTATTAATATTTATAAAGCGCCAACAAGTTCTGTAGCACTGTACAATGGGTGGACTAACAGATACATAATTGTAACCAGTCAAATTGGATGCACAGTAACAGAGGGATTGAGGGCCCTGTTCAATGAGTTTACAGGGAGTGGGATATAGTGACACAAAAGGTAGGTGTAAGGTAGAAAAGTAGGTTGTTAGGATAGTATTCACCATGCGCTTGGTGTTGTTTTGATGACAGTTGCAGGAGAGGAATCAGGGTGCGGGGAGGGAAAGCTGTTCACAGTTTAATTGATATGCCTAATTGATATAATTGATAAAATAACATTTAATTGACATGCTTTAATTGATATAAATGAAAGATAACAATAATAGGGAAATAAATGGAAAGTGTGGATATTAAATAGTTTGTTTTTGTTTTGTCTTACCTTGCATGATACGCTGTACTCCTGTGCCATCCTCGGTCTACGCCAACCCCGGCCTTGGGATCTTTCCAATGAAGTGTTTTCCAGTTCTGTGAAAATATAAAATACATGGACTGGGGCTTAACACAGACCTAGCCAATGGGACAACACTGTGTCTGATATATTTTGTCAAATAATTAAAGGACTTGTTTGAGAACAGTTACCAGTTAACTTTACACATCACTTATAATATGAATGATTAACTGACAATCCACGAGGAGGGGACGACTTTCCAGTAATGAACATTCTGACTACCTGTGACATGATACCGTGTGTCACTTCCATCTCCGAGAGAAGAATCGGGATGAACTCGACAGAACCTTCATCAAAACCTCTCACTTAATTACTTGAATTCTCACTCAATTACCAGAACCTTCTTTTTTGATCACCAGAACTCTCAGTCTTAATTACCAGAACCTTCTCTCTCTTTTTTTTTTATTCTTTATTTTTCTCATTCCACTTGAGAGTATATCATATTCAAGAAAACTATTTGGCACAATTGTAGCGGCGTAGAAGTATAATCTGCGATATCTCCGCTGGTAGACGTAGTCAGCAAATAAATAAAGAGTAGCGTAGTAATTCCAATCCCATTCCCCAACAACTGGACGTTAACACAGTTTTGGGAGTCAACTGAACCTTTATTGAACCACAGCCGGTTTTATTCAAGTCCCCATGCAAGGGGTTTCCTTAAAGACATTCCAGGAGTTTTCCCCTGGTGGAATTTGTGGAAAACTGAGTGTACAGTAACATTTCCCATAATCCTTTTCTGTACTGGAGAGATAATTGCGTAAGAGCACAGCTTTAATTACATTATCTCTCTTTACAGAGAATTACACAATATTGGTTAAAATATCATAATTAGTATAATATTTATCCGGACTCCATGAAAGACACTTCACTGAATAGCTGGGATCTGAGTGCCCAATCTGTCGAAATACCGCTCAGATCCGTTTGTTAGAATAGAAAAGCCATTCAAGTGAAGTTAGGGACCGGTCAGTAGGGAGTTCCAAAACAGTTCCAGGCAATTGCAGGCTTTGACCGGTCTTCTTTTGGGAGTTCATACAAATTAACAAACAAACATACACATCTATAACATCGTCTGACAGTCGGTGCTTCAATTTAGATGAACGCCGCTCAATTTGGACAAACGGAATTATCTGCACGAACGGGATGGAAGTCCAGCGGTGTTTGTGAGGTCGAGTAGCCGATTTTAGTTCCATGCACTCGATGACCAAACACTGCTGGGCGTTCGTGTGCCAAGATGGCCGCCGCCACATGTTCGTTCATACGAACGGCGACCACCCATTCAACTATTAGGTGTTTGTGGTTTCCCTATGTTGCCAGTTCCTAATTGGAGACACACGACTCCCTTGTGTGGACCTCCATTCGGTACTTTTTTCGGCTCCACGAACAGTATGTCCATGTTCTGTTCGTGGAGCCCAATTAAATGAATGGACATAGTCTTTACAGATGGAATTAAACGAATGAACAGTTCTTGGTACAATGAAGTGGCTAGTTTTGCCACAGGCACAGAGTTAGACAATAAAAAGTCACTGTCATATTATATGTCAAATCATATTAGTTATATGTATGTGTAAAAAGGAGAGAGTGTGTTCCAAGAACAATGTGGAATGAGTTTTAGTTTTTTGTAAAAGTAATAGAATTTCTACAGTGTGGTAGCTAAAGGTTTGTGTAGGGTGGGGGGAGAACAAGGTGCATTTAAGAATTTAATTGAAACTTGTCTGCGAACCAACCAAACTATATGCTCGCAGGAGCAGGCAAGTCTGAGCCTGAGCGAGGTTTTTAATTATAAGATGTCCCTGTTGCTACTTGGTCTTGTTAGTCATAGAGATCCAGTAAAGTTTAATTAAGAAGAGGTGAGACCATGGAAAATAGAAACAAAAGAGAGAAAAATAATAACAATTATATAAAAAAGAGAGCTATTAAGCTGATCGGTGTAAAACGTGGGTAAGTCTCTAGGCTTGTAGAAACTCTTGTAGCTATGGTTTGGCTATCCCCATAGGCTGAGGGGGTCGTGTTGCTCGAGGTGCAAACCCTGGGATCTTCACTGGGTCTAAGTGAGACAGGCCTGTCACACTGGTCTCTGCCGACTGTAGTTTGCTCATATAGTCCTCCAATGCCTGGTAAGTTCCAGCTCCATGGATTGTACTCTGGATGGTATACAAGAGTGCTGGTGGCAAACCCCACCAGTATGGAATGTCTCAGTCTCTTAGCTTTTGCAGTAAGGGTTTCAGGGACTGATGCCACTAAAATATATTTCTGGTGAGATCGGGGAAGATCAGCAGCGAGGCTCCCTCAAATGAAATCGGGGTCTTTCCTCGTACCGCTGCCGAGGGTCTGGAGCTGCAGAGGGAGGCGCCCCAGCTGATTTTGGTAGATTAAACATGCTGCCTAATTTCACTGCCTTGGCGTGTTAAGGCCGAAGAAAAGCGGCAAGAAATCTATGGATAAAATGTGGTAAGTCCTCCATCCCCAGATACTCCGGGATTCCCCTGATCTTCAAGTTGTAGGTCTTCCAGGGTATCCATTCTAGTATCAGAGTGCTGCTGTTGTTGCTGCAGTTCCTGTATTCCTTGCTCAACAGCAGTGATCCGAGTGTCATGATTGCTGTGTGTGGCCTCTAGCTGAGTGATCTTAGTAGCCACTTTCTGGAAGCGGGACATGTCCTCCTTGACATTTGTGCGGAGCTCGGAGAGCATCACCTTAATTTAAGTTACTTAATGTGGCCTCCTCTCCTGGTTCAAAGGAAAAGTCCTCAGAGGAGTAGGATGATCCTTCTTCTAGGGATGCCATGTTGTCCCATGTGGCTTTCTGTGAAATGCAGAACAGATCATCAATGTTCCGTTCCGTTTTGTTGGCCTTTTTGTTTTTGCAGCCCATGATGTTACCTCTGGTCAGATAGGTAATTTCAGCCAAGGTTCCACCCCCCCACCCCCCCAAGACCCACACTCACTGTGACGATCTGAACCTCATCACTGGTTCTTGAAGGAGCCTGCTGGCCAGCCTCTTATCCTATGACTATGGCGCCTGCAATACACCTGGCTAAAATACTTTAAAAGGCTCTGTTCATGTGAAGTATGTTCTTTTGTACTCCAGACAGAGAGACCGACCGTTAGCCCTAATTCTCTGGAACTGTTTTGAGCAAGGGACCATGTGCAAGGTCTGTAAACAATAAGACTTCCATGAAATTCCTGAACCCCTGAACTAATCTGTGTGAGTTTTGGATATGTTGGTTACCCAGATCGGGGCTATCAGGGGATGTAACATACGTTTATTTTTTGTTTTTTTTTTGTTTTTAGGGTACTTTTGGGTGTTTTTAAAAAGTATGTTTTTTCTGTGCTTGGAGATAATTGAATTACAATTAGTACAGATATTGATCCAATTATCTCCCAGGCAGAGGGAAGGGATTGTGTGCTTTAGTGGGAGTGCCTTACATTGTAAATGTGTTATTATTGGTTTGTAAGTTTGTGTCCCTGTCCCCAACAAGGTCCATATGGGCGTACACCTTGCTTGGCAAATTGCATAAAAGGCCAGCTGTGGTTTCCATTAAAGAGAGATGCTTTACCCCTTCATGAAGTCTTGGCTCATGTTTGGTGGATTGGAGAACTACATTCACTCCGGGGATTGCTATAATCACTATACTACCCTGAGTATAATCACTAGCTCTTATAAGTGCTGTTCCTGCTACGCTCTCTGGACTAGGAGAGGTCTACCCACTGGAAACTGGATCCTGGTCTTAGGTCCCAAGTGGGTGGAGGACGGCGAGAAACCAACCAAGCTGCGGTGGTTCGTCAGGTTTACGGGGTTATGGTGTTCCAATACAGAGCTTATGGTGCTCACAAGTACTAGGAAGCAGCCATTGATGAAGGTACCAGGCAGTCCGTCACACTCACAATTACCCAGCAGTGGCGTACATACTGGGGTCGCAGGGGCCGTGGCTGCGACCGGGCCAGGCCCACCAGGGGGCCCGGCCACCCTGCGACCCGGTATGTATGCCACTGTGGCCAGCCTCTTCTCCTGGAGGGCCCAGGAGCTGGCCACCTCAGGGCCCCCTGAGGCTGGCCCGGGTGTCAACCGGCGAGCAGGCTGGTGGGCGCGCGAGGGAGCACTCTCCCCTGAGTGCTTCCTCTTCAGCTCCCTCGCACACCGCACTGACGTCATCTTCCGGCTCCGGCATCAGTATGCGGCACACGAGGGAGCTGAACAGAAAGCACTCAGCCAGGGAGAGTGCTCCCTCGCACGTCCGCCAGCCTGCCCGCTGATTGACACCACTGGACCCCAGGGAATCCCCTCAATTTAAAAAAAAAACGTTAGTGTGTGTGTTAGTGTGTGTGTGTCAGTGTTAGAGTGTGTGTGTTAGAGTGTGTTAGTGTTAGAGTGTGTGTGTTAGTGTGTGTTAGAGTGTGTGTGTGTTAGTGTTAGAGTGTGTGTGTTAGTTTGTGTGCGTCTGTTAGTGAGTGTGTGTTTTGTAAGTGAGTGAGTGTGTGTGTCTGTCTGTTGGTGAGTGTGTATGTATGTCTGTCACTGAGTGTGTGTCTGTCAGTAAATGTGTGTTTCTGTTAGCTAGTGTGTATGCGTCTGTTCGTGTGTCTGTTGGCGAGTGTGTGTCTTAAGCACTTACCTTTCTCCAGCGCCGGACTCCCTTGGCGCTGGGGATCTCTCCGCTACGATCCGCCTCTCAGCTCCAAATGCGCATGCGTCCTATGGACGTTCAGCGTCTTCTCACTGTGATTTTCACGGTGAGAATTGCGGAAGCTCCTCTAGCGGCTGTCAATGAGACAGCCACTAGAGGCTGGATTAACCCTCAGTGAATCCAGCTGCAGGGTTAAAACTAGAGGGACCTGGCACCCAGACCACTTTATTGTGCTGATGTGATCTGGGTGTCTGTAGTGGTCCTTTAAGTGTATGTGTATCTGCATGCACTGGCGTACATACCGCGGTCGCAGGGGTCGCAGCCCTGCGACCAGGTGCCCGCAGCCAGTATTAATAACTACTCTTTTGTACCAAGCCTTCACTTTTACTAGCCGGCTTTGCTGCTTGTGCCATTCCCAATGCGAGAGGACATTTCTCCATGGGTGGTGGGATTGGAATTTAACACTTCTGGAAATTAACTTCTAATACAAGACAAATGTCAAAGTCCGTGTGACGAAAGTAACCTCATCACTGGCTTTTGGAGGGGCCTGTTTGCCAGCCTCCTACCCTGTGTCAAGGGTTCTTGGAGGGGCTTGATGGCCAGCCTATTGCCTCAGGACTATGGGCCCTGGAATATACCTTGCCCAATGTACTTTAAAAGGATCAGTTCATGTGAAGTATGTACTTTTGTACTCCAAACAGAGAGACCGACCATTAGCCCTAATTCTCTGGAACTGTTTTCGGCATGGAACCATGTGTGTGGTGGGTCAAAAATAAGACTTCCAGGAATTTCTTGAACCCCTGCTCTGATCTTGGTGATGTTTGGATATGTTGTTCACCCAGATCAGGGCTATCAGGGGATGTAAGCTTTATGAGGATATGTTGTGTTTTGGGGTACTTTTCAGGTTTTGTAAAATATGCGTTTTTTTATGCTTGGGGATAATTACGTTAATACATTATCTACCTTAATTGTATCACAGGCAGAGGGAAGGGATTGTGTGCTGTATGTGGGAGTGTCAGGCATTGTTATATTGTTTCTATTGGTCTGTACAATTTGTGTCCTGTGCCCCATCAGGTCCAGTGGGTGTTCCTCTGGTCTGAAAAGTTGTATAAAAATCCAACCTGTACCATTAAACTCTCAGATCTTCTTGCACCTTCATGAAGTTTCGGCTCATGTTTGGGGGATTGGAGAATTACACTCTGGGGATTGCTATAATCATTATACTCCTCTGAGTATAATCACTAAGCTCTTGTAAGAGCTTGTTCCTGCTACACTCTCTGGACTAAGAGAGGTCTACCCACTGGAACCTGGTCCTAGGTCCAGGGTGGGTAGGAGACGACGAGACCCCAACCAAGCTGCGGCGGTTCATGGGGTTTGCAGTAGTTATGGTGTTCCAGCGCAGTGCTCTTGGTACTCATCAGTACTAGGAAGCAGCGATTGACGGAGGTACCCAGTCGGGGTGCCAGGCGGTCTGTCACAGACCATATTCCCTTCTCCCTGGAGAATATTCTCTTTTCATTCCCATTATCAGCATAGATTGTATCTGCCCACAGCACCCAAATCCCTCATCCCTCATCCGTGTCTGCTGGAATAAATCTCCTTCCTGGACTGGCTGCAGGACATTGAGGATGTTCGGTCTATGAAGGAGTTTGTCCAGTGATTTCATTGATAAATATTACCGCACTAACTCCCTAAGGGGACACTGCAGTGTTGCCTAGAGACCAGCTATTGCATTCCTGTCCCCCCCTCCATTTTATCTTTGAAGCCACTGTGCTGCTTGTCTCTGTGTTCAACCAGAGCTAACTGGTGGTATACATTATACTCTCACCACTGCACTATTCCTTGTAATGTACTTCCAAAATATTGACTATAAACATTAGTTTTACCATCTCTGTGTTATAAACATTTTATTATTTATTATTCAGTGTTAAACCATTCCATCTCATTGAAGTAGTTATAGTGTCTGGAGTCCCCTGGCGCTGTCCTTCCATTCAGTGTTAAACCCTACTATCTCATTGAAGTGATTATAGTGCCTGGAGTCCCCTGGCGCTGTCCCTCCATTCAGTGTTAAACCATACTATCTCATTGAAGTGGTTATAGTGCCTGGAGTCCCCTGGCGCTGTCCCTCCATTCAGTGTTAAACCATTCCATCTCATTGAAGTAGTTAAGGTGCTTGAAGTCCCCTGGCGCTATCCCTCCATTCAATATTAACCAGTATAAACCATTTCCCAGCAGTTTAACACCAAATGAGGGTCCCTGGCTTCTCAGAGCTCCGCCTCCACTGGAGGCATGGCTGTGGCAGAGATTACATTTCCTTCTAGCCATAACCATTTGTGGCGAAACCAACCTCGCCACTGGGCATTGGAGAAGCCTGTTTGCCCGCCTCCTGTCTGCTGACTATGGCCCCTGGGAGATTTGGCCCTTTAAATATATTATTTGAGCATATTGTATTTTATTATGCTGCTGCTGGCCCTTTAAGAACCATCTGGGGACATACTATGGAGTTACTGGGTGGCCACCATTTCATGTATCAGAGGCACATGGTGAGAACAATGGATGGCGGCCATTTTAACTCACAGACACTGTTTGGACTTTTCTACACGGTGCCATCTCGCCAGTATTTGGTGCACGAAGACATCGTTCAGTAGTTTTAAACTATACAACAAGGGACACATTATACAGTAATTATTTTTCATATAGCCTGTATATGTTCTGCGGAATCTGCATTAAACTGCGTCTTCCAAACTACTGAACGGATCTGGGTGAATTTTGGATATGTGGTTTTATGGGGTTATTGCATGTTTTGGGGTCCCTGTGATATGTTTTATGATACTGTATTTCTCTGCCTGTGATAAATTATATTAACCATTGTGTTCAGTAATAATATCACAGGCAGAGGGGAAGATTTTGTGTGGGAGTGTCTGTGTGTATTGTACGGATTGATTGGTTGTATTTCAAAACCCTGTGGGCTCTACTATGTTTGTGGATTGTGAATAAAAGAAGCTGTATGTGCCAGTACAGTCAGTTCTGCTTGACCTCAAAACGAAGTGTCGTCTCGTTATTGGGGGAATTGGATTGTATGCTGATTGCCAGGAGTGTAAGCTGATTGTATGCTTTTCCTGTTCAGCTGCTTACAGCATTCATATACTTGAGAGCATTCGTATGCTTCTCCGGTTCGGTGGTTGTGGTGTCTGCTGCAGTGCTTGGAGTCCTCAGAAAGCGCTAGGAGCATCCTTCATCGGAGGTACCCAGTCTGGGTGCCAGGTGATCCATTACACCATTCATACCAGTAATGGGTGCTGTGATTGGCTAAATGTGGTCAGCTGACACTATAAGCCATAAAGACAGTGCCAGGGACTCCAGGCATAGTTACATTGGCTGAAAGGAGACATACCTCCATCAAGTTCAGTTTTTCTCACCTCTGTTCTTGCTGTTGATGGGTAGATGGAAAGAAAGACGGGGATTGTGTCAGGAAGCAAGGAGACAGACGTGATATTATTATGGGGACAGTTTTATAAAATTATGCAGGAGCTTGAGGTAGAAGTTTAGGAATAAAAGGGGCTGGATTTTGGATTCCCCCAGATCTGTGTTACAATCTCTATGTTACAACCTTCTAGCTCTGTGTTACAATGTTTCTGTTACAGTCTCCCAGCTCCATGTTACAATCTCTGTGTTAGAATCTCTATGTTACAACCTTCCAGCTCCGTGTTACAATCTCTGAGCTCTATGTTACAATCTCTGTGTTACAATCTTCCAGCGCCGTGTTACAATCTCCATGTTACAACCTTCGATATCCATGTTACAATCTCCCAGCTCCGTTTTACAATCTCCGTGTTACAATCTCCTAGCTCCATGTTACAATCTCCCAGCGCCGTGTTACAATTTCCATGTTACAATCTCCCAGCGCCGTGTTACAATTTCCATGTTACAATCTCCTAGGTCCGTGTTACAATTTCCATGTTACAATCTCCTAGGTCCGTGTTACAATTTCCATGTTACAATCTCCTAGGTCCGTGTTACAATCTCCCAGCTCCGTTTTACAATCTCTGTGTCACAATCTCCCAGCTCCATGTTACAATCTCCGTGTTACAATCTTTCTGTTACAGTCTCCAATCTCCGTGTTACAATCTCTCAGCTCCATGTTACAATCTCCGTGTTACAATCTTTCTGTTACAGTCTCCAAACTCCGTGTTACAACCTCCCAGCTCCGTTTTACAATCTCCATGTTACAACCTCCCAGCTTCGTGCTACAATCTCCGTCCAGCTCCATGCTACAATCTCCGTGTTAAAATCTTTCTGTTACAATCTCCCAGCTCCATGTTACATCTCCCAGCTCCATATGACAGCCACCGTGTTACAATCTCTCAGCTACATGTTACAACCTCCGTGTTACAATCTCCGTGTTACAATTTCCCAGCTTCGTGTTACAGTCTCCGTGTTACAATCTTCCAGCTCTGTTACAATCTACATGTTACAATCACCTAGGTCCGTGTTACAACTTCCCAGCTTTGTTTTACAATCTCTGTGTTACAATCTCCCAGCTACGTGTTGCAATCTCCGTGTTACAATCTCTCAGCTCCGTGCTACAATCTCTGTGTTACAATCTTTTTCTTACAGTCTCCCAGCTCCGTGTTACAATCTCCCAGCTCCATGTTACAATATCTGTGTTATCATCTGTAACGGCACCCTCAGCATAAAAGGGTTAAACCGCCATTTAGTAGATCTTCCCTTCCAGAGACACAGACACAGCTACTGCAGAACACCAATCCGCCGAGCAGGAAACAATATGAATGCTGTAAACAGCCGAATAGGAAAAACCATACGAATAGGTTTACACTCCTAGCAGTCGAACTGGAACAGCATAAAATAAATCCCCCCAAGAACGAGATAAAGCTCCATGTTGAGGGTCAAGCAGTGAACAGCCAGAGCTGTGGGTTTATTGTGCTTATGTACACATTCTTACACATTAGTACCAGCCACAGGGTTTTGGAACACAACGAATAAACACATACAATACACTCAGACACTCCCACACAAAATCCTCCCCTCTGCCTGTGATACAATTACCTTACAGAATGGGTAAGGTAAGCAGAGAAATACAATTTTTCCACATTATTCATAACTTGAAAAGTTCACATATAACTTACATTTTCAGAATCAGCATACTCCAAATAGAAACATACGTCAAAATCATACAAATTGGTCCAGTGGTTCACAAGATAGATCGTAGTCCTTTGTGACCAAAGGAAGCATGGCTTTTCTGCCCAAAGCCAGTTCCACAGAGTCTTCTATCCTGAAGATAATTGGGAAGTAATCCAATTATCTCCAAGCACAGAGGCAAAACTCCATTGAACACATGACAGCAAAAGACAATAAAATACATAAAAACATATAACTGTGCAGCCATTGCACAAAACAGGTACATTCAACATATCCCCAGATAGCTCAGATCTGAGCGCACATTATTACTGAATGGCGCTCAGAGCACACACATACAGTTCAATTGCCATGGAGCCAAAGTCTTTCCCATAGTCTTTCATTATACGAATGGGCTCCATGGCATAGCTATCTGGGGTATCACTGCTCAAACAGGGCAAGCACCAAATGACCCGGCTTTCTTGTCTTTGCAGGGGAAAATCAAGCCTTTTAACATGGGGCCATAATCCAAAGGCAACAGGCGACCAGATTGGTCTCGTCACATCATCTCTGTGTTACAACCTCCCATCTCTGTGTTACAACCTCCCAGCTCCGTGTTATAATCTTTGTGTTTTAATCTCCCAGCTCTGTGTTCTCCATGTTACAATCTCCGTGTTACAATCTCCGTGTTAAAATCTATATGTTACAATCTATGTGTTACAATCTCCCAGCTCCGTGTTACAATCTCCCAGCTCCATGTT